TGTAGTGTACTAACTCATGATCATTTCGTACATAGTATTATTCTACTATTTTAAAAGAAAATAACATATATGCAAAATAATTCAATGAAATCTCAATATGAATTGACCAAAATATTTATTATGATGATATCTATCACATATCACATCAAAATTTATACGCTAGAAGTTCATTAGAATTGATATATTATATTTTTATCAAAATAGGAGAGAAAATAAATTAAACTTGAAAATAAAAAATAGAAGTAGGTTAAGGTTGTCTATCACAATCAGAACAACTTTTGTAACTATAGAAATAAAATTTTTTGGCCTGAACCTTGCTTTCTCTCTCCTCTCTTCACCACTTTATCATCCTTTCTCTCCTCTTCTCTTACTCGACATGCAATAGGGATGGGCAGGGAAGTGGCTTAGGTGATAATTTAATATAATAATTTTAGATGTTTTATTTTTAAAAATAAAACTTCAGACTGAACACTGCAATGCTTATGACATCGGCATCGCAACTCTTACGGCCTCAACGTCATAATGCTCACTCAAATCCTAATAAACTCGAGAGCTTGTCACTACAGTGCTCTTAGTAAAAATTTTGTATTTATAAAATATTTAGTGAAATTAATTTTAAGGCTATTAAACTAAGTTGGGTGATAGTTAATTGATTAATGTTGCATTGGGTAATGACAATTGGGCTATAGTGGTGAACTTTTTTGCTCATGTCTGAGAGTGTTCCGTATGTAGGTGAAGTTCTGCATATATTTATTATATAGTGAATTTCTGAAATCTATTTACATTTTTGTGGAATTTAAAATTTTCCTAGAGCACCGTCGTTATATTTTTAGCACTCTAACGCTAAAGTCTTAGGAAAATCTACATTTAATTCAGCACTCCGGTGCACGGCGTGGGAGGCGGCGCTGTAAATTATGTAGGGTGACAGTGTCGCCAATGCCATGTCATCATAACATATTTAATATTAAAATATTCAAATTTACTATTCATTTTTGTTTCATTTCTCAAGCTGACAAATTAGAGAGAGATAAAGAGGGTCTCTAGTGAGAGAAAGTCTTCTTTGAGCTGCTTTGGGTCATTTTTAGCCAACGGCCCAGTTCTAAAAGTTGTTCTTATTGAGATAGGTTACATTTTACATATCTTAGTTTTTGATAATTTGGTATTTTTGGAGTTTTTTTTATCAAATTTATAATTTATTTATTTTTTTTAAATGCAGTTTTATAAGATTCTATTAACTTTTATCAATGTAATTTTTAATATATTATCGATACGACTATTATGATCGTTTTGAGTATTTATTCGAGATTTTTCACCGTGTGATTTTGAAAATTAATAATTTTTATCTATTTAAAATTTATTTTAACATCTAAAAAAAAAGTGCTTTAGCTCAATTAAAGCTTCAAAATACTATTATACACGATCTCTAATAATTTAATTATTTTTTAAAAATATGAATTTCTATTTAGTAGGATTTTTGTTGCTTACCATTATAGCCTCTGGTGAAATTCTGGAACAAAATTATTTATGCTTTAATTTTTGTAATGAATTGGAATATGTATTTATTGTGCTTTGTCGGGTAAAATAAAAAGGTTGAGGAGGTTTGGAGTAAAGGGGGGTGTTTTAGAAGATCTATTATGATGCATATAAGACATATTTGGTGGCTAAAAGCTATATTCTTGTATGCTATATGTATGATATAAAATTTATTAGGTGATATATACACCATGCTATTTATTCTGATTTTGAAACTTGAGGGCTATTCTGATATTCCCTAAAAGAGATGTGTTGACAAACATAAGGGGTTGTTAGGTGCTATGTGCATTATGCTATGTATTCTAATTCTGAAGCCCGAGGACTATTCTGATAATTATTATAAGATATTTGTTTATGTTTCAATCTCAGTATAATTTCAATAGTTATTTAAATGTATTAAGTATCAGTATCTATTTAAGCTTCAATTTTTTATATTTTACTTCAATTTATTATTACATCATTGTATTTTTCAGTCTTTTGGTTTAAGTTATTGATTTTTGTTTTAGGCTACGATAGTCTAATGAGTCATATTAGTTTATTCTTTTTTTTGCTTCCATTTTTAGGTCAAGAAAATGATAAGGAGAAGCTAAGTAGTTTGATAGCATGCTCTGATTTGTGTTGTAATTAAGTATGCTTTTTGGCTAGTTTCATTTTTTTTGGATCTTGGCTTTATTTTATTATACTTTATGTTGTCAAACGTTGTTGTAGATAGATCTCATATTGTATATATATATATTTGGATAATATATCTAGAAGAATCATTTTTTATATTTAGTCTTTAGCTTTATGTTATATTTAGTAGTATCTATGTGTTATATAAATAAGAAGTTCAGTTTTTGTCAGCACTTATCAAACTAGATTTTGAGATTAGTTTCGAGTTTTTGCCATAATTAGGCACAGTATGACTTGTGTGGTATCAGGTTATAGAAGACAAACCTGTAGAGCAGTCTTAGAAGAAGAGAATGAGCAGAACAAGAGTAACAGGGAAATATTGTTTCATTAAAAGAACTTAAGTTTCACTGTTACAAAGCCTTGTTTATATAGATGGAAGAAGAGTATTATGATTGTCTGTTAAGGTCGTTAGTGACATACTGCAGTAGCAGTAGGGAGTGGAGACGGCTGGAGCAGAGACCGTTGGAATCACGTGGCTGAGTTGACTCGGTGAGTTGAGTGTGCTATCAGCCCCCTGCAATGTTGAAAATTTGCTTGTCTCGCTGTAAGAAATCTAAATCCTATTTATGATTTAAATAATTTTGTATTTTTTTATCAAGTTTGTATTTTCGTTTATGAAAAATGAGGATAATTTTGTATTGTTAAAATTTTCTTAGTGTAACGTTTTATATATTATAGAGTTTAAGATAATGAACTTTTTTAGTATTTATTTGAAATTTTTTGTCGGGTGATTTTGAAAATGCAGCAATTTTTGCGTATTCCGAAATTTATTTTGACACCTAAAAATAATGTTTTAGTTCAATTAGATATTCAAAATGTTATTTTATACATTATCTGATAATTTAGTAAATTTCTAAAAAATTTAAGGTCGCTCACAACATCTTTAAGGTGATTTGGTACTTATGGTAGAGAAATATGGAAGCTTCTAAATGGAGAATAGTAGAATACTTTGTATATACAAGATAATATCAAGTGTTTTTAAAGTAATTGAACCAAAACATATAAAAAACAAGTGAGAGATGTGAATTTCTATAATAACTTTTTTGTGATGAAGGAGCACTGATACATGGAAGAATGCACATCGCATATTCATGACAAAATATCTCCAAAAGTTGCGTGTTTATAGTCAAATCAAGTGGATCGATGGGACAAATCTAATGAGCTCAATATCATTCAATTCTAAGATCATTAATGCATTCAAATACTAAATATATAATCTGTGATCAAATGAATCAATAGGAGCCATTCGATTGATTATTCATATTCTAGCAAAATTGATCAAAATAAGTCTGTCGAAAAGCTTTAGATACGACCTCATTTTCTACCTAAGAGAGGTTTGAAAGTAATGAAGTATTTTTTGTGTATTCCGAAATTTATTTTGACACCTAAAAACAGTGTTTTAGTTCAAAAGTTGCGTGTTTATAGTCAAATCGAGTGGATCGATGGGACAAATCTAATGAGCTCAATATCATTCAATTCTAAGATCATTAATGCATTCAAATACTAAATATATAATCTGTGATCAAATGGATCAATAGGAGCCATTCGATTGATTATTCATATTCTAGCAAAATTTATCAAAATATGTATGTCGAAAAGCTTTAGATACGACCTCATTTTCTACCTAAGAGAGGTTTGAAAGTTTAGATGCCTCAAGAACTTTATCGCATTGCCCAACAAATGTTGCCAATGAGACCCATTAGCAATCACAAGTATTGTCACTTAACTACTAAGATCATACCCCATCATTTTAATTTTGTTATCCTGCGGTGGATACCCGACCTTTATTACATTCTTGTTGATCAACATATATTGTATAATTTGTCCCAACCACCCATCACTTTTTCTATAATCCATATAAAAAGAATTATAGAATTATTCTCAAATGTATCATCCCCTCTCTTCTTCAAATTTAAGGAAGACTCTTCTATTTTTAATTATATAGTGTATTATTACAACTACCTTAACCCCCGTGATTTTTCTCATTTTAAAGTATTCCATGTAAACATTTTTTGTTATTCTTAAAACTTGTATCAATCATGTCGGTTATTTATAGAAAATTAAGATGTTAAAAATTATGTCATAAATTTTCTAGCATATACATATTACATGTTAGTTGTGCCATAAAGGCCTTAATTTAAGTTAAAATAGTTAAAAATAAAAAAAAACATAAATTTAATTAAGAAAAAAATCTATAATAAATTTTGAAAAAAATGCTATGCATAGTTGAAATTATAATAGTATAATTATTATATTTGAATTCAAATTTTAAAAGAGCAATATAAATAACATAATAATTAAACATTAATTAAAATTAATTGTAATTCTTAAAATTAAATATATGTGATATATGATGTAATAGTTAGCTAAAAATTAGATTAGTGATTTCACACACTTCATAGAAATCAATAACAAAAAATAAATTTGGAATCTTTTTTTTTAGGTAGCCTAACAATAATAAAAGAAAATATTATACATTTTTTCTTAAATTTTTTTTTTATTAGCAACCTCTAAATTAATTTTTTTTAATATTAATTTTTAGGATTATTGACAACACTCAAACATCCAATAATGTAAATATTTTTAGGATATTTTTTGCTTAAGATTAATATTTGAATCTAAATAAAAAAAACATGTGATAATCATATTAAATGCTAAATATCACATCCTTAAGCCCTAATATGTGTAAAGATATAAAAAATTAAAGAGATAAATGTGATATTATCTATAAAGGAATGATTGGTCGCGTGCTTTCTAAAACTCTTCTCTCTTCTTCCTAATCGACAATGGGGGATCTGTGGTCGTCCATGTGAAATATGTGGAATAAAGAAGGGGAGAAAGAGACAGCGAGAGAGAGAGAGAGAAGGAAAGAAAGAGAGTGTTAGGAAGATAAACCTGATTTCTCTCCTCAGAATGGCCAAATCCAGCCCACGCCTTCCTTTGCTATCCTTGGCTCGAGGTCCAGGTCCTCTTCTTCTTATTAGAGAGTTAAAGGAGGCATTTTGACAACTCATTTCTCTGCTTTGCTCCGTCCGCGAGAAGAGAGAAGGAGATGGCCATGGCCATGGCTTCTGGGGTTTGCCATTCGTTAATCGCGGGGGAGAAGGGCTTATTGAGCAGCAGAAATTGTATTTATTTTGGGGGTTCTCCCTCTGTGGTTAGGGTTCTGAGTTCTATAGGAAGGTATTATATCGTATTTAAGTGATTTGTGTTGAGATTATTATTGATTGCTTTCTCTTCCTTTGCATGTGGATTTGATTAGTTGAAAATGCATTATGTTTCTGAAATTGGATGTTGTTGTTGGAATTAGATTGAAAGATTTTAAGTATGAGAGAATGAGATATGTTTGAATTTAATGTTTTGGATCGTTATTTTAGGGTTTTTCCGCCCCAAAGGTTTTGTTTGAACTGGTTTTCTTGGAATCTGAGTGGGAAGGAATGAAAAAAGAGTTGAAAAGTTTAGATCAATGGCTACAGATGTTAATTACTCGCAAAATATTTGGATTTCATTTGACTTCCTTTGCTTTCCTTCAATGAAAACAAAGCTTTTATTGATTTTTGCTTAGATTTTTGTCTGTGCAATTTGTCTTTTCTGTTAATTATGAAATCATCCTTTTCCCATAATTGTGGGTTTAACCAGCTTACAATGCGTAGCTTTTCTGTAATCCAATGTGTGTGCTTATTAGGATTTGGGTTCATTTGTTTTACAAGTGATGAATTTGTTTTTAGTCATTTTAATTGTTAGAATAAAATCATCACATTTGTGGATGTTGAAGTTTTTTGGTGAGTTTAAATCAAACATTGACCACTTTCTGCATCCATTCAAATGATTTTTTGCTAATTTATTGCTTTTGAAGAAGAAGAATTACAAATATATTACAAATAAATCTGTTTTATCTCCTAAAAATTTTAAATTCTGCTTGAATTAGGATACCAAACATCCCATAAGGAATTTAGAATAAAAAAGAAGAAACTCGGCATGAGGATTTTTGGATTTGAACTCATGTAAAATTAATATGGTCAATTTAAGCTTCGTTTGGGATAGCTTTTGGCTATTGCTTTTTTGCAGCTTTGATGATTTTTTTTGTGTTAGAATGCTGCTTTTCATAGCAGTAAGAAGCCATCACAAACGAAGCCTTCATTTTTTTGTTTGGGATAGTTTTCTTATTGCTTTCTAAAGAAGCTTTTTAGTATAAAAATTTCTTGAAATTAACGAAAAAATAGTGGTCAAAAGCTCCAAGAGAAACCTTAATTTACTCGAACTTTGGAAAGTAAATAAACTATCAAGCTAAGCTTTAGTATCAGGTAATTATAGATTAAAGCTATCTAGCAACTCTCTATCCACACATTTGCTTATTGTTACTTTCCCAGCTACTGTGATAAGATCTAGAAAGGTTGCCCAAGCTGGGAAAATTTCAATTCAACTAAGCCTTTTGGTAAGAATATTGAATATACGGATCAACCAAATAGAAGCTCTGAAGATAACTAAATTGATAGTAAGAAGTCACATTACATTTCACATGCCTTGTCAAGGATCATCCTGGCAAAAATACATCTGCTCTATGAAATGAAGGTGAAAATTTTTGTTCCTGTATAATGGCTTTACGCCTAGTGAATTTATTTTGAGACGGTGAGATACAAATTTTGATTGATTAGTCATGAATTACACTCATTTTTAAGCAAATCCAAGAAATATAATGCTTTTCCTATCGTACATCCCATTTCATATAACGAGTAGATTTAGGGTTCGTTTGGGACAGCTTCTTTGCTACTTTATAAAACTACTTTTTAATTATAAAATTTCTAATTTTTGTACTAGAATGTTGTTTTAGAAAGCAGCAAAGAAGCTGTCCCAAACGAAGTCTTAATTTATCTATAATATTTAGATATTATAATCGTAACTCAGAAGAAGATGCATCTGCTTTAGATAAGTAGTGCTTAACTGAAATATATAGACCACGACTCAACACCTTATATTCATATTATGTCTCGTAGAAAGTGAAAGAGTATGTTTTTATCTTCTTCTAACTGCATTTCTAACAGTTTATTGTGATTATCTGACACTGAACCAGTTATTGCTGTTCTCTAGATTATCTCTTGTAGCTGTAAACATTCCAAAAGCTACATCTCCAACTGCTGTGGAGGTAAACTGGCATCATTGCTTATGTCTAGTAGTGAAATTAGAGAGGGGCTAGGGGTGGCTCTCACCTCTCTAGATTGTTAAAAAAGGACCAATTAACTATGAATATATTACAGAAGTTTTATCTCTTCCATTCCATAACTTAAAATATTAGTTGAATTATTGCTTATGCCTAATAGCTTGTTCAGATTACATTTTGGGTTCTCTACCTTTAACAGGAAGGAAGTTCTAGAATTGATTCAGTTCCTACTCCCAAAGTTATAATAGATTTGGACACGGATCCAGATTCAACCATTGTCGAGATTACTTTCGGTGATCGCCTTGGTGCTCTTCTTGACACTGTATAATTCATCATTCTTTTTCCATTATGTCAACGCCAGTATTTGTTTGCAATAAACAACTTTTTCCATTTTTTACCAATGTAGATGCGTTCACTTAAGAATTTAGGCCTCAATGTTGTGAAGGCTAATGTTTACCTAGACTCTTCTGGCAAACACAACAAGTTCTCCATCACAAAAGCGTAAGTGCTTTGTTTGTTTTGATTTAGGCTTCGTTTGGGACGGCTTTCTTCTTGCTTCTTAAAGTAGCTTTGTAGTAAAAAAATTTAATTTTTTATACTAAAAAGCTGTTTTAAGAAGCATTAAGAAAGCCATCCCAAATGAAGCCTTAGTAGTGTTTGGCATACAATGCAGAGTAAATTATGTCATTTTAACTGCATTTCTTTGAGATTTGCAAATGGAATGAGCTATGAAGTAACTTTGCTTTAAAAAAAAACTAATTCATCTGAAGGCTTCATCATGCATTCATGATATTTTGTCTTAAGATCAGTGGCAAGGTTATTTTGCAGGTCTACCGGCCGTAAAGTCGATGATCCTGAGCTTCTGGAAGCGATTCGGTTGACCATAATCAACAATCTTCTTGAATACCATCCGGTAATCTTCATTGGAAAACTTGTAGAATCATTTCGTTCTTATGATTTGTAATGATAAACACTAGCAAAGAGGTGCAATGAGATGATAAATGGAGATGATAAATGTCTTACTTGATCTGACAGGAATCTAGTAGTATGCTGGCCATGGGAGCAGCATTTGGCATTGAACCACCAAAAGAAGAAATCGATGTTGATATTGCAACACACGTGAACATTTACGACGACGGACCAGCTCGAAGCTTGCTTGTCGTAGACACCGCAGACCGGCCCGGCCTGCTCGTCGACCTTGTGAAGATCATTACTGACATCAATGTAACAGTTCAGTCTGGGGAGTTTGATACTGAAGGATTGTTAGCCAAAGCCAAGTTTCATGTTAGTTACAGAGATGAAGCAATCAGGAAGCCTCTTCAGCTGGTTGTAGCTAACAGTTTGAGGTATTATCTCAAGAGACCAACAACAGAGGAAGCAAGTTTCTGACTTCAAATTCTATGTCTACTTGATAAAGAACTGGTGGCATCAAGCTTGCAAGCTTATGAATCCTTGCAAGTGTAGTAATCACAAAAGGCAAATCAAGCCGTATATATTTTTTAAAATTTATGAGAACTGCAATTCTCCTATTCAAGACTGTATGTTCAGTCTGGAATTTTGTTTTATATTGGAAATACTTTCTAAGATGGCAAAAAGGGCTTAATGAGAAAGGTGTGGCCTCAAAATGAATGTCAAAAAAGAGATTTCACAATAATTTTATAGCTAACTTTTTTTTTTCTCGCCATAGCAGAGCTCTTATCAGCAATAGTTGTGATGACTTATGATTTAGGGTTACGAATTTATTCTAACTTGATAAATGTATTCATCTGATTTATAATATATCATCGTATCCTTAATTATATTCCTATATACTAGTTTCTATAAATTAGAATCTTTCTATTAAGGGGTATCAAAAATAGGTCAACGGGTCGAATTTGGATCCAAAAAGGTTGACCTTAATCTGACATGATTTTACAAATAGGTTAGGAATCCCAACCCAAATCTAACCCGTGCGGGTTATCGGGTTGACCGAACCCAACTTGCGAACTCAAAATGCAGTCTGCGGACACACTTCTGAGCACAATGAAGGTTTGGTCCGGATGCTTGATGCAACACACGGGCGACTGAGCAGCGAGAGGGGTTCGAAGACTCTGGAAGGCGAACAGAGTGCATCATCGACCTAAGGGCGGTGCGGGGGTGAGGTTGTGCGCGGGTCGAGCTCGCTTGATGGCTTGAGTGAACGTGCAAGCAGTTGACGGGCCGAGCGGGTATGGAGTCTGGACTCCATACACAATCATGTGAGGCAAAGTAGCGAAGTCGAACCGAGCGCATCAATGCTGCGGGGCTATGCATAGGTTACCGAGTGACGAACGTTGGGTGATTAGTAGGTCAACACAGGTTGATTTCGAATTTTCGGGTCAACCCGAACCAATTTAATAAACGGATCAAAACCTCGAACCCGAACCCACCCCCGTTTGACAAACAAGTTGATCCGAATTCATAATTTTTTGTGTCGGGATTCAGATCGGGTCAAATTTTGACAATCTTGCTTTCTATATTTATATGAATCTATAGAAATTCATATGCATATAGAAATATAATAAAATTAACCTGAATTAAATTTGTAAATTCATATTTCATAATTATTGAAATGGAAATCAAAATATCTTGGTCCTTAGGGTCGCAATTCAATATGAAGCCCTAAAATTCCTAGAAAGAAAAGTTAGCCTGGTATTCACCTGGGCACAGTGCAGTCTTACTCAAACCAGCATTCACTATATACAGTTACACACATTTACTTCATGAAATGAGAAAAAAATTCAAACAATGAAGTGACCAAATTCAAACAGCCACTATTTAACTGAATTAATTGAAAAATGATTTACTTTATAATTCAACCTCTCAAACACTTTAAACTTAACCAAAAAAATACATTACAGAGACTCTATACATCAACATTTATCTCTTTCCCACCCAATTCACAGCCCCAATAATAACAATTGCAAACTCACAGGTCTCAGAAAAAAATGCCTAACCTTGCTGTTGCTGCTGTAAAGCCCCACGACTAGTAGTGAAGACTATAACTGAGCTTCGGCTAGAGGGATACACAGGAGCAACACCCAGGTTGTGGGGTTTGAGATTGGACCCGGCTTGGCCGCCATTGTCCTGATTTTTTCTGACCTTCGACCGATCGATCCTTGCTCGTCGAATCACCTCTTGGACCTGACGGTCGTGATCTCTGAGCATCTGGTCGACGTTCCCGGACGGGCGAATCAATGGTCCTGAGTAGTGTATTTTTTTTCCCTTTGATCCGAACCCTTGGGGCTGCAATCATAATAAGTTGGTTAATATGATGGGCAGGAGTTAGAGGTCTTTTTTGTAAACATGGGAGTGCAATGCATAAGTATATGCATTATACTATAAAGGTTACCCTACACATTTTTTCATACTTTTTATAAGATATGAAAAACTATCATGGCTCGCGAGCTGGCTCGAGCTCGTTTACAGTGGGACGAGCTCGAGTTCAAGCTCGCTTTCCAACTAACGATCCGAGCTCAATAAGGCCTAAACTCGACTCGACTCGTTTATACCACTAGTCGCCATGTTTTCCGAGAATTCTTGCATATGAAGGTAGATGGGTTGAGAAAGTAAGGCAACCCCGCGAATGAAGCGAATATGTCAATGTGTATGCTTCTAGTTTAGCTATCATATACATGCATAAATGCTTAGATGATTTCCCAAGTAGCTAAGAAGAAGTTTAAAGAAAACCTACTCAATCAAAATTCTGGTTCAATACTCATTATTCAATTGGAAATTTGAAATGGAAACACATCTCATCTAATAACTTCCTAAATTCTTCAAATAAGGAAGCTATTCTTGAATGTTTAAGAGACCAGTTGCAACATAAATATGTAATTTGTTTAAGCACGATTCATTAAACATCAAAATACTTACCAAAGACTGGTTCATATAGCTGTCTCTTTCATCCTCCTTCAGATGAGATCCTCCGGGGTACGCTTGAGCATATCCAGACTCCGAAAGTCTGCCATCTGGTGTAGTATTTTTTAATTGAGAATCGTTTCTTTCACTGCCATCTAAAAGAGCATTCGTACTTGCTGCGACTAAACTGGATAGGCCAGATAAATTGGCAGCAGCTGCAAGCCTCAATAAATCATCATCTTTTTTCCTGCTCTTAGCTTGCTGTCCTCTACTAACCACAGGCCCTGAATATGAAATTTTACGAGGGTAATGCCTTTGAGAAACTTCACCAGCTTCTGGGGCTACTGAGCTCAGCCTTGGTGGTTCAATCGGAAATCGGGTGGCAGCTTCCTCCTGATGTGGGCTGAAATTCTCACTCATGCTCTTAGGATTACCTTGTCCAAGCCATTTTTTCTATCAAAGCAAAAAAATATTATTTCAATATATCCTATAAGATTCAGCAGTAAAATTTGCAGTAGGGATTTTGTGGAGAACCTCGATCGGGATCTACTATAGCAAGAATTTAAAAGCCTATACCTAACACATACACACGCACACATTGACAATCTTTGCTTGTCAGTGTGCCTTAGCTGTGCCTACCAACGTGCCATGGTCCTGCCTGTCAGCGTGCCTAGGCCTTGGCTGCTAGTGTGCCCTGGCTGCCAATGTGCCCCAGCCCATTCAAATGTACTCATAAGTACTCAATTTAATACTTTTCGGCATCAGGATAGCATGTTGGGTACACATGGTTGTATGTACAAGTAAAAATGTATTTTTTGTGGCAAAAAGAAATTTAATCTTTTTGGTCATTTTTTAACTACCGAAGCATTCTGGATGAAATAGGCCCTGCCTGTCTATTAGAGGGGGAGCCCAAACATGATGCAGAGTCATCTTTCTATAAGATTCAGCAGTAAAAATTGCAGTAGGGATTTGTGGAGAACCTCGATCAGGATCTACTATAGCAAGAATTTAAAATCCTATACCTAATACACACACACACATACATTTTATATATATATATATATATATTGAAGCAATGTAGCAATGCGTCCATTTTATTTTCCATGGAAACAAAACCCTGTTAGGACTGACATGAGTTCCACTTGACATAATATTAGATTACTGTTTCGGCATGTATTGCAAAGTAGTTAAGAAAATGACCTTTATTGACATAGATAACTCGGCATTGGCATTTGGTGCAGGAACAGCTCTTGATTCTCCGAGTCCTCTCTTTTCAAGGTCTGGTCTTTGCAACTTGTCTCCACTAGCACCTTGCCTGTGAACATAGTCAATCAAGTATTATTAACGGTAACCACGAAGATGAGGTTTTAATGTCCAACCAATATACAATAACGGGTCATTTGTGCCCACATCATCCCATCACAGGCAAAAAACCATGGACACGTTTTGGAAGAGAGAAGATAAGAGTTGAACGATGATTAATTGTGTATTGAGCTCATCAAAGGAAAAATACGTACAAGCAATATAAGAACATATCCCTTGCAGCACAAAACTTTTTATGTAAACCGCAAAAACTATGTATGGAGCATTGTTTGATTTTGGCTAAGATGGATTTGAAACAGCCCAAAGAAATCATGATTGGCCATGTTTCAGCTAGTTTCTGGCAAAATAGTTGTTTCAGTTGGTATTGACCAAGATTGGCTGAATTTGTGCACATAATATTCTCCAATGCCTGTGCATGGAAGCAATTAGCATGAGTGCAAGAACTATAGCTAAATCTGTGAAATTGTGAAGGTTCAAGATAGCTGATAGCTCAAAAATTAAATTGAGTTTTAGCTCAATTAGAATGCAGTATTCTAAAAAGAATTTTTAGGACTCGCCAGAGAATTGGGTAGGATGGGGTAAAGCTACCCCAAGAAATACATAGTAGGCGCTCAGCCTATGATGCACCGACACTTCTCCTCAAAGCGTGTAGTGTCCAACAAGACACTACGACACGTGTCAGATATGTCGAAAATGTGTCCGATTAAAAAAATATTAAATATAAATTTGGCATGCGTGTCCGACACACATATCTTAAATATTTTATTATTATTTTTTAAATATAATTTCTTGTATTTAAGATTTTTAATTATTTAAAATATAAAAATTAAATTTCTTATTTCATATCCACAACACCAAATCAATTGCCCTCACTTAATACCCCATTCATCGAATATTCTTATTTTCATTTCTCTTTAGCGGGTTAAACTTTGATTTCACAATAATGTCCAATGTCATCTCAACATTGACGTCTGACGTTGTTACAACATCAACATTTCGAAACGATCTCTATATGAAAGTCTGGCACTGTCTTTACATTAATGCTCGATGCTAGCAATTTCTACACCCACAACTTGACATCTCATCTTTGACCAACGCCTTCTCAACATCGAGGACCAACACCCTCTCAATGTCGACAAGAAACGTCCTCTTAACATTGATGCTCAATATTTACTGCATAACATCAATGCACAACTTGCGATAGCATAGTCATCTCGATGACAGATAAACGACATCGACGCTCGACTCTCGACATCTTAATATTAATCATTTTAAGCAGAAATTCTAGTTAAATGACTTATTATCTCTAGATTATTTTTAAAATTATACTTATTCATTTTTATACATTATATTTAAAATATAAAAATTATAATATTGTGTCCAACTCGTGTTCGTATCCTATATTTTCAATAATTGACGTGTCCCGTGTCTGTGTCGTATTCGTGTCATCGTGTTCGTGTTTGTGCATCATAGCGCTCAACCTACAAAACCTACACCCCACAGACTGAGGCATCAACCCCGAGCACCCGAGGCTCGCATTTTATGCACTATTAGCAATAACCCCATGATATAATTTCAATTAAATTAATTTATCAAATTGATTTCTCTCTTACAAGCCAACAAAAACATCAAAGCCCTGTATGGCTTGCTTTCGTCTTGCTTATATCTCGTCTATCTCTAATGTTTGCTCCATTTGCTAGACTCCCTCATTGCTTCTCACGGCCTTCTTTAACTTGTCACTCATCTTAGTTGAAGCCATATGTTGGTTTGCCTTTAATTTTATTAGTTTCATAATAATTCCGTTACTTGAGTTTTTAGAGTTAGATTATAAATCATATAGTCATGGACTACAAATTTTGGAATCTTTTTAATTATTTTTTCATTATCTAAGATTTTTAAATTATATATTTTTATTTATTTAATATTTATAACATAAATTGATGGTGTTTACCACATGCCACCAATCTTTTTTCTTAGCCTTGTGATAACAAAAATTCCTATTCTTATGCCTCCACCTTTTAAAAGATTGTTCAATGTTGAGTTAGGACTGAAACAAATCAGACTAGCTTGAAATTGGATAAAAAAGTATATACATGTGTAAGTGCATACATGCATATATTCATGTGTGTGTGTATATGATTGGTTAGACTTTTGTTTGGGAATGATGGGTGATAACTAGCAAATTGTGTGGCTCGCAGTCGAGACCTTGGAGAAACAAACTCTCGAACCACTAAGCCACAAATCCTTTAATAGCAAAACTATTATCATTTAGTAGGATAGAATCTATTCCTCATAGATCTCACATATTTCAACATATTTTAAAGGCTAAGATTTAAAGTACCTAAAAGCTACTCTTTACATTCCCAACTTGGGAGTTAAAATGAGGTTCAAAATTTTTTAAGGAAAAATAGTTGAGTTAACATAAAAAAAGTGCTACATAACCTTAGAATATTAAGTAACTTCCCTTTTTCTTTAAGCCAAGGAAATGAACTCAACATTTTTTATCGACAACATGAAAGTAAGTGTCCTAACTTGACCTCAAGTATTTTTACCCGTACTATCACAAGAGCAAGCAAGATCCTGAAAATGTTTATGATTTGGGAGGGATGGATGGTAAAAAACAAGAGAGAAAGATTAATTACCATTAATTTTCTTTCTAAGAATACAGAGATAAAACTAATTATTTCTATCTCCTTCCCTCTCCCTTAACTTTCTTTAAAACCAAACAGTGCCTTAATGCTGGCTGTTATCAAACGAATGTTCAATTCCTCACACAATGTTGCAATCCATGCAACTGTGACTTAACAGTGGCTTGTAAGAATAAATTTTGTAGACTAATACTTGAGAAAGCGAAAGTGCACCTTCTAGTTTCTTCGTCCCGAACTTTAGCATCGAACTCTTTGCTAGGGGGGTATGTGGGCAACGTTGACGGGTCGCAAGGAAAGGGATTAGCTGTAAAAAACTACAAGTAAATGGATTAGAATGTTATCCTCACGAAGAAGAAGAGCCAATATAGTGAAGGAAAACAAATAAGTTATGGAATCCACCAATGTTTAATCAAACAAAAAAACAAACAACAACATCAAGCCTTTGTCCCACTACGTGGGGTTGGCTACATGAATCCTTTTTCGCAATTGAGTCCTATTAAAAGTCAATTTCTTATTTAAATCTAATAAAGAAAGATCATTTATAATATTTTCTAACCAAGTCTTTTTAGGTCTACCTCTACCTTTCTTAACATAAGTCAAATCTAATACATCTACTTTCCTAACCGGGTCATCGGAGGGCCTCCGTTTAATGTGACCAAACCAATGCTTAATAAAAAGAAAAAAAAACTAATAAATATGCACTAAGAGCTAAAGAATTATTGTTTGCCTACATAAAACTTCTTATTCCTATTATAACAGGACTATAAACTACAATATGGAATCATCCTTGTGGCTAACAAGAGTAAACAAGAAAAGAAACCCTACTTGTATCGTCTGTCCATGGTTTTTACTGTTGGATCTAAGGAATGGAAACCAGTCAAACATGAATTGAACGAGCAAATGTCTTGTTCAGCTTGGTTAGTTAACTATCAAAGCTTCATTTGTTAACCATTGAGTTGAACAAGAATTAGTTCAAGTTTATTAGCAAAAACTGAAAAGCCTCCTTTGTGTTGCGCTCATTTATCATCAAGTGGAATACAATCTGAACATAAACAAGAAACTAGCCCGATAGCCATCAAATGCATCAACAATTCTTGATTGACAGCTTCAATTGAATAGCAAATTGTGATTTTCATAATACATTTTTTTAAGCATCGATGAACATAAAACATGTGTTGCCCATGATTTTAATAGTATAATAAATAAATGTTAATAATAAAATCCATATGTAAAATTGAAATTTATGTATGCATATCTGTGTATATAAATAGATAGATCCCTTATTAAGCTAAAGATAGTTGGGAATGCTCTTGTCTGTGCTCAGCTTATTTAATGAGCTGAAAAATCTTACTTAAGCTTGGCTCTTTTACTTTACCAATGAGCCAAATTCAAACAAGCTACTCATTTGAACGCGAGTGTTTTGCGAACATCAAGCTTTTTTGACTCCCCTACATTCAACCACCAATGAAAATGAATTCAATAATTTTATAAAGATTGTTATAAAGCATTGATTATTTCCCAAGAGAAAGGGTCCGCGAATACGTCAAAACGTTAGGCTATCAATTTAAAGCATTAAAAATGCACAGGACAACAAAAAAAAGTTAGCTCCTATCTTTTGTTTCTTGTTTGGGGGTGGAATGGGAGGGCTGTTACAAGCATAAAATTAACTTCAGATTGCAACAATATACAAGGATGAATGAGATGTTAAATGTTTAAGTACCTCACTATTTAGTGCAGATGCTGCAGTACCACGATCAGCTGGATCAATGGACAGTAACACTTCCATAAGCGCTAAAGCTGGTGCAGGTAACTCCTTATATGTTTTAGCAAGACACCGAGGGTAAGGATGTTGTGGTTTAAAAATGGTGGCATGAGGAAGTTTGGACTTCCTCCAGTAGTCCTCATCTGGTGAACCACAGAGCTTGAAAATCTTGTGCAGCTGCTCCACCTGTAGAGGCATTAAAACGAAGATGCATGCAGAGATGAGTATCATTCCAACTTAAAATATAATAAATTTTTCTTTTGGGGGCAAAGAAATAAAAGAGGAGATCCTGATAGAGATCCAATGCTCATCAGTTACAATTTAAGAAAATTTTAACTACTTGCTAGTTGCTACAAAAATTAGTATCTTAATTCAACAGCCATAATTATGAGGTCAATAAAGTGCAGATCTGATGAATAAAAATGAATACATATAATGGAAGTTGTTATAACAGGCATTGTAGACTTGTTTTTATTTCAAGCATGTGGTGATATTGGTAACAAATATTTCTATTTCCTGGTTCAAAGATAAAGGGAGAGTACCTCTGTCCTTCCAGGCATTATAGGCTTGCCCACATAAAGTTCAGCAAGTATGCAACCAGCACTCCATAAATCAACAGCAACGCCATAGTTAGTAGCACCAAGCAAAAGCTCAGGGGGTCGATACCATAGAGTGACCACACGACTTGTTAAAGTTTGGTGTTGCTCAGGATCAAAGAAACTTGCCAAGCCAAAGTCTGCAATCTTTAAAATGCCATTATTGTCGATTAAAAGGTTAGACCCCTTTATATCCCGATGCAGGACATTTTGGGTATGACAGTGATCAAGACCACACAATAGCTGTTGCATGTAACATTTTACCTGAAAAAATAAAGAAATTTTTTGGATTATGGTCACTGAGGCCAGGTTTTGCATCTTCAGTCATACAAAAATGAACAATTTAGAATAATAGCAAAATAATCTAAAACAAAGAGGCTTATGTACTTTCATGTTACCTGTGGTTCTGTGAATTTGATACTGGGATGAGAAACAAGACCAGCAAGATCATGCTCCATGTACTCAAAAACAAGGTATAAACTGGAAGACAAGCGCGAAGCTACTAAGCCCTCTAGCTTTACTATATTTGGATGCTCAAGCCTTCGCAGAATGTGGATCTCCCGAGCCATAAAGCGTACACTTTCAGGCTCCAAACTGTCAAACCTCACTTTCTTTAATGCAACAATTTTTCCATTATCAAGATCACGAGCTCTGTATACATTGCTGTAGGTGCCTTGACCTATCTGCAAAATAGAGATTTCCCTTAAGAGATCAAGGCTGGCTAAATCTAAGAAATAAAATTACTACCCAAACTACTGTCAACAGCCAATGTACTCCCTCTTGACAGAAAATCCAATATGGAAATAAATTGCAATGAAGAATAAAAGAGAATTATATCCAAACCAAGGATTTGCTTATTTATGCGCAATCTATCACCAACTAGAACTTAATTCAATTAACATGTACAAATTCTAACTTCCAATAATAGCTAGTAAAGAACTAAGCATGCAAAACAAGCAGTAAGTACCACTTCACTGTTCAACTAGAAGGAATAAAATAGTAAAAGCAGTAAACTTGAAATAAATTGATGGCGGCTTTGTATAAAACATAGCCAGAAGAATGTAGCAATTAGCAAACATTTTACCCTTAACAAAAGATTATTAACAGTTTAGAGTTTTCTCAAACAAAAAAGATAAAAATAAAAGTCAACATGAGATTTCCTTCACAAAAGTTGATAGCGCTTTGTAGAATATGCACATAATCATATCGTCAGCAGTGGTTGAAGGCTCATTTTTAAATGAAAAAGTTTGACTTCTGCTGTTATTTAAATTTAACTTTCCTCAGCGGACCGTTTGAATATCAGCTATTCAGTAAGTATGTGCCAGGTAAGCTAGAAACATCATATAGATAGTCCAAATCAAGCATGCCCTTTATAAGGGATCTGCCAAAAAGGCCAACATGAGAACTGTTGACCTCCAAAAAAAGCAAGAAGGGTCGTTGACTTACTTGTCCATCTATGGCATAGCTTATCTAAACTCACTACAACTAGACTATCAAGAACTTTTTCAACAGACAATCAATCATCAGAGAAAAGAAAAAAAACTACTTTTTATCCTCAGAGAGAACAAAGAAACTACCTTTAATCCCCAGACAATCCATCCTTCATTACTCTTTGCATTCAATCAAACACAATCTTTGCTGCCCATAGAGTAAGCCATCAAGTTCCCTAGCTCCCAAACTTTAAAGAAAAATACCTTTTGTTTAAATTCATGCCTAACCACCAATTATACTTCATAGGTAACACCTAAGTTACAAATCACGCACCAACCTTTCCAGGATATACAATTACAACTATTCGATCAATAACTAATCTAACAGCGCTCTTGTTCAAATCAAAATGTTTCCCCAAAAAACTTCAAAATAAAGGCAGCAAACTAAAGGAAACATCACTATCCCAAAGCATGCAAAATCATATGCAGAAGAAAGGAAAAAAAACAGGATAATCACACAGCCGATCTTACCTTATCAAGCTTCTCAAATGAGTCAGCCCGACGCGGAACCCAGCCATGAATCGCCTCTCCAGCCACGGCTGCAAGCCAAGCCGGCCACCCAGCCGCAACTTGCTCCCCTTCCACGCTCTTCGGAATGCTGCCACTCAGCCGCACCAGTTGATTACTGGGATGAACTTGTCTTTCCCTCCTCATCTCCACATCATGTTTCCTCTCTCCCGCCGTAATCCCAGTCCAACGAACAGCCACTATCTCCTGCCCCGAAGAAGACACCGCCGCCGAAAGCTTCGCCTGAGCCAGCAACTGCGCCGTATTAACCGCCGGAGGCGCGGGATTAACTGGCCGCGCCCTTGGACTTCTCCGGTTATCATCACCAAACAAGGGCTTCACGCAGACGCAGCCCATTGATTCACACTATGAAGCAGAAGAGCTTTAATCTGCAAGAGCTATGTTTCCATGCGGAAGAACCCTCCCACTTCCTCTTCGTTGCCTTCCATGTGGCATCTAAATGAGAATCGAGAATGTCGAATATGGAACAGCAAGAAGAGTCCCGCCACGCCACAGATCAGCGTTTTTCAAGATCAAATTGATTGTGAAAACCCTAGGCCTCCTCCGGCATTGAATCAGGAGCTTGTTCAGCTAGGGCGAGGAGTTGCAGTGGAAGCCGGTAAGTCGCTTCCCGGGAGAATTTTTCCTTATGGAGTTATGCAAAGAAGCTTCTAACGAACGCCAATTGGAGTTCTACTGAGGAGCGTCAGTTAACGCCAAATTCTTCTTCTTTTCTTCGCTTCCGGAATCCATCTCCCTATATCTTCCGTTCTCTTTGACCAACCAGTCCGGCCCGGTTTGACTGACCCAGAAAGGCCCGGCCTGGCCCGGACTCATTTTCCCATTTGTTTTTTGAGAAAGGTTGCTCAACTTATCAAATGGCACTTCAAAAATATGAAATTTTTATTTTCCTCTTGGATTATGTAATTGCATTTAGTTAGTTTTATTATTGTTAAGTAAAAATGATATTCACTATTATTATATATGATTGAAACACGTTAGATTTTTTTGTGTGCAGGTTGAGCGACTCAAATGCCGGACCACGCGGGATGCATGAATGCTCTGACCGCCCTGCCACAGTACGAGCCGCATTACATTAACTTTCCAAGCCTATTAAGATGAATGAAAAGTTGTTGTGTAATTCATTACACTTCTGATCTATCAAGTTGATTTCGTAATGTGACATGAAAGCTTTATCACCCTTTTAGTTCAAGTGACCGTCACATTAGTTATAACGGTTGAATAAGATCAAGCATACAATATTTACACTGAAGGTCCTACTAATAATATATTTGAGCTCGTCATCAATGAACTAAAACTTCTTGATCATCATTGGGGCCTATAATGAAGACCCCTATATGCAATTAAGGAAGCATTACTTCTTAATCATCATCTTCTTTCTTTTTCTCGTGTAGTCGAATTCATCAAGAATATTTGAAGAACTTAAAATTATTTTAAGAGCGAAAAGATGAGTGGTCGAAGGTAGATACAAGTGAGGGTCTCAAAAAGGAGCTTAATATATTAACATATAACTTTGTATTAATTGGCCTAAGGTTTCGATTGGGACGACTTTTTTTCTGCTTCTTAAAGCAGCTTTATAATACAAAAGATTTAATTTTTATACAAAAAAGCTACTTTAAGAAGCATAAAAAAAGTCATCCCAAATAAAGCCTAAGTTTAGCTCGGGTTGGTCCAAAATCTTAAAGCCCGACCCGACCCGACCCGACCCAACCCACTTTCATCATACGTATAAAGGAAGTAAACTTATCTCATGCAAATATAAAAGTCAAAATTTTGACCAGCTTATACGATACAAAACTACACGATCTGTCATTGAAAGCTAGGATGATATATCCATTCTTTAAGCATTTTTTGTTAAAAAAAAAAAAATCATTGATCTGTATAAATTTTCTTGATCTGACGCACTCAATTCAACTGTGTAATTTCTAATAGAATTCATCATATATTTTAAAGAATATCACATGAAATAAGTTCTGAAAGATTGTCCAATTTAGCAGTAAGAGGGCAAATTATTAGGTCCGATCACCGGATATGTTCGGAGCCCAATGAAAATGCGCCACATCACCTCCTATTCGGTACTGAGCAGTATCAAGCAGTACCGAGCTCGGTACTGCTCAGTACCCTGCTCAGTATTGCTCGGTACTCAGTACTTCACAGTACCGACTCAGTACTGATCGGTACTGTAAATACCGAACGTAAGCTGTGTCCAATGTCCGAACCCAATAATCTCTCAAGTAAGAGATACAGATGGCTTGCAGGAGAAGTGAGTGGTGAGGTGAGGAACTCACTTCCGAATTAATCCTGCAGAAGAAGTACAAAGAGCAAGAGCCAGGAAGTCGTTTTCCAAGCCAGTGGGAAGTCGGAAGACCAGTTCTCAGAAATTTTATTGACGGAGCTGAGCTTCTGTGCATTCTGTTTCTGAGCTGTTTGCAGAAAAACTCATTTTGTTTCTACTGAACAAAGTCAGAAGCAGGAGGAATGGCAATGACCGTCGGTTTTGTACAGAAGTTTAGGATTCTTAAAATTTGAGAGCTTTCTGCAACTCAGGATCTTCATACATCTCTGAAATGAACTATAGTATTATGTAAATTAATAGTAAAATTTAGATGTAAAATATGTAAGTATAGTATTTAAATGATATGTTTATTAATCCCCATTTAATTATTTTTGTTAAAATCTTGACCATTTCATTGGACGCTATAGAATAATCCCCGATCATTTGATATTTTTTAATTATTTAAGTGTCTTAATGACGTCAAAACTGTTCTCCCAAGGAAGGGCCTCATTTGTAATCGACTACAAATACTAGTGGATTCATTCAAACTGGGCCTGGCCCCGTGGTTTTTCCTCCTTTCAGGGGTTTTCCACGTAAAAAACTCTGGTGTCTCTTATGAATGTTTCACCCCCCTCTCTTATCTGTTTGTGTACTGGATCTTCGTACAATGCTAAGACGTTAAACCATATATTTCTTTACCGCCGCGAATATTCCAGGATGTAACAATATATATATTTGGGATTCATATAATTTGACAATATAGTGTAGATTAAATACAATGCATTTAAATACTTAAAATGATTTGTTTAGTTGTAAAGAAAAAACTATTTTAATTGACTTTGAGTTTTGCTAGTTTGAAGATGATTTGAATATAGACCGATTAATTAGGATCAAATCAAAGTCACTTATGCTTCCTCCTTTGTTCTTTAGATCTAGCACACACACTCACTAGACCCAAGTGAACCCCTCGTGCATTGGCTCGGTTGATCCTAGCTCGCATACTATGCTTGATGCAAACGAGTCAGCCCATTTTGACCAAATCAATGTCAATTTAGTTCTATCAAATTTGATTAAGTTTGATTGATTAAACCAAGATGTAATGGAAATTTTGAAAATTTTGATGACATTTAATAATTAACAAGCTCAATCAATTCAAAATATAAAATTTTTAGATCAATTCAATTAATTCTATTCAACGCCAATTGACTTGAGTTTTTAGTTCAATTGACCAATTATAGTCTGCCACATAGGGAAGATAAACGGGTCTCTTTATCCCACACAATCATGCTATAATTCTTATTGCGAGTGTCTTTTCCACCATCTCTTCATGATTGGTTGTAGAGTTTAAGTTTGGTTGTAGAGTATAAGACTCCCCATTTGTCTACAAGGTTCCTTTGGATGTGGTTACTCGTTGTTACTAAGAAAGTTTCTCAAGTTTTTACATGACTAAATGGCCTAGACTTCTAAAAATTCAAGATGATGAAAGCATGAGATTTTTATTAGGGTCATCCTCCACTCTGTAGATTTCTCCTTAGGAAAATCTTGCCCCAAAATTACAATAAACCTTATTTGAAGCCACAATTCTAGTAGGAAAATCTCTAAGACTTGTACATGCCATACGCCCTTCATTAATCCCGTGGGTATTTATAGTGCTTTTATTAGCTATAATTAACCTCTCTTACAAATTCATAGACATCTTTCGAAGCTCACAACTAAATATGATTTTCTCTAATCTAAGAGGATGAGACCACCTCAACTCTCATGGTTTTCGTCCTTAGCCATATGTCATTTTTCAATTCACCCACATCTTATTAACTAAAGGATATAAAAGATAACTTTGACACTATTCAACTATTCTTCTTTGACCACTTGTCCTACTCTCTGACATTGAAAAGATTATACCAATCTTCTTCACTTACTTCCCTTTTTTTTTTCCTATCTTCTAATCAAATCTTCCTAAATCCTATCAATTTCTTTCAAGAAAGATTATCAAAATCTTATCCTTGCAATACCTACTTCAAAATAATTCTTTTCTTCCTCATAAGCACAAAGCATTGCAATTGTAAAAAAAATAAATAGTTGAAAGTTATCACAATCTTTATTTGTGCAATATATACTTCAAAACACTTCTTTTCTTCCATATAAGCACAAATCATTGCAATTGCAAAATAACTAAATAGTTAAATTTTCTCCTTAAACATAGTGGGCATAAGTTGTTAAGCCAAATTACTACAAATTTTAGTGTTTATATAAGGACGTTTATATGTTTGCTATTCACTCTCTCTAAAATTGGAATCAGCTCAGGTCTGCAATCTTTTCTATATGATATTGTTAATTCGTCTCATTACATTTGTTCTCTCTTGAATACTCGAATTACCATCAGATTCTAACAGTATGAACCAAATAAGGATCAACTTTGAGCCTTGATAGGGCATCACAAAATTAGCTTGATCGGGCACGAATCTCGAGGTAAAATCCAACCCGGAAACTTCAAAAATTAAATCCGGAAGCACCAGAACTCCGATTTCAATGATCCTATAGTCAAACTGAGCGTATCGGAAATACAAACCCAGAGACACCAAGTTCAACCCAATCCGAGCTCAAATGAGTCCGAATCAACGGTCTGAAGCGCTATTGGAAGGTTCAAATCGCAATTTGAGTTATCAAACGGTCTCCGATTTTAATGAGCTTATACTCGAATCGAGCGGCTCGACGAGACAAATCCAACAAGACCAAGATCACCAAATATCGATATAATTAAGGTCTTCAAATGTTCAACTAACGGTGCACGATCGAAGGGTTCAATATCGGCCGTCCATTCAAACCACTCCCTATTCGCCCATGATCTCACACCTATTTACAAGCCATGCCACTCCAGAAAAGCTATAAATAGAGCTCTCATTCTTCACAAAGGGGACTCAAGTGAAGAGCGAGAAGAAGAAGAGAAGAAGGAGGAGAAGGAAGAAGCTCCTAATCGACCACCGTCGGAGCTCTTCCCGCCGCCTGAAGACGCCTGACATCCCTCAATCTAGATAAATGAAATACACACCTAAAGGGTCTATAGTTATGATCCTTTAGACTTTGAGCCCCTTGTTAATGTTGCCCAAAGGGACTAACCGTTACAGCTCAAATTCTTAAATATCGAGATTTTATTCACTTTAGCCAAATTGCCTCATAGTTTTATCTTGTTTGTATAACTTTTCAGGAGGTCACATATTCTAGGAGTAATCTCGCACAAACATGCTTAGCCTTGAAATTTCTTAATAAAATTTTAACCATTACACCAAAAGGTATCTCGATGTTTAAGAGTTTAATTTATTTTTATTTAAGAGATTTGACAATCTCTCCCACTTAAGTAATTGACGTCCTCACCCCACTATCAACATTATTTAACAGGTTTCACAATAAAGATATTTTTACTTAATTGA